TTCTAATTGAAAAAAAAAAAAAAAAAAAAAAAAAAAAAAAAAAAAAAAAAAAAACTGCATTAACAGGATACAAGGAAATGAATATACCAACTGAAGGTCGCAGGCTTAGTCCACAGTTAAACCTTCTGTTGCTAGAACAAAACAAGTCACCAAGTCATGCCCACACCCTAGACCAAAACAATTTGTAGACAAACCATTCCCTAGGTGGAATCCCAAGTTATCTCAAGGGAACAGGAATTTAGCAGGATCCTCAGACTTTTGTTTGAGGTAGGAACTTATCTACTTCTCTATTCCTGGAGTATAAGGGCTGGCTCTTAGTCACACCTGTTTACAATAACCTTGAAAGAGCAGAACTCTCAGCTCCAGGTCTAGGTGAGACCTTTGTTAGGGTGGAAGCACAACAACCTTGAAGGAACTAGAGGTAAATTCCAACTCTCTGACCTTTGGTCACTGAGGAAACAGGCTTACATTTTCGGGCCTCCACAACTGGTGTACCAGTCAAAGCCACTAGGGCTGTCTACTGTAAATTACAAAAGCAATTTTGCATCTATTCTATCATTTAAAACATGTTTCTTTTCTGAGCTGAATTAATCCAATAATGAACGCTATCCTTTCTGTAACATGTAAACCACACACAAAAACCTTGTCATTAAATTAAAAGCAAAGAAATCTATCTAAAAATGATCATCTAACTGGGATGCTCCTCTGCATTTTTGCAAGATGCCTGACATGCTCCAACTTAGTCCAGGTGATAGTAAGGGTGGAGGCGATGAGGCACACCTCTTAAAGGAGGTGGCAGGCTTACCCTCCAGTCAAATAATTTTGAGCCTGTTTTTGTAGTGAGTTACGTATGGCATTAGGAACTTCAAGTTTAAGCTGAACTAAATCTAAAATTTACTGGAGCACGTCTTGATATTCAAGCTTGAAGGTCTCATTATATATTTCTATGCAAGTAAGGCACGATTTTAAACAATACCATCGTTTTGAAGGGTGTTCTAAGGAGAATTTTAGAAGTGTTATGGTTCTGAAAAATCTTCATTCAGCCTCATAAACAATCTAGAAAGTAGAAATCCATGCCAGCTGACCAGGTCAGCTGACCTCCATCACTAAAAGGAGGACAGTTTAGAAAAAACTAAAAAAGAAAAAACAAATTTTCTTTTCTTTTTCTTTTTCTTTTTTTTTTTTTTTTGGTTTTGTTTTTCAAGACAAGGTTTCTCTGTAGCTTTGGTGCCTGTCCTGGAACTAGCTCTCGTAGACCAGGCTGGTCTCGAACTCACAGAAATCTGCCTGCCTCGTCTCCCGAGTACTGGGATTAAAGGCATGCATCACCACAGCCCAGCTCAAAACAAATTTTCTAAGAGGAAAACTAGAATTAACTAAAATAGTCTGTTAAAGAGGTAAATTAAGATATATTTTTAATTACTATGAATTTGATTTTAGGAGGTTTATGGATAGAAAAATGGGCCTGACCTATAAACAAGAATGTTCACACATTTTAAAAATTTGTAATGGAAAGCTCAAAAAATAAAATTGAAACTGTACATTTAATTCCAAAAATAAATTATAATTATTGGTAGTAGTGATGCGACATAAGTATACAGATAACTATAATTATACTTTTTATCAAAAGCAAGTAAATTTTTTCCAGACAAACGGTATTTTTAAACAAGGCTAAGACATTTATTTGTCCCTTATTTTTTAGCCGATATGTGTTAATTATGATGTCCTGATTATGTTCTAAATCTAGGCGTGCTGAGCACGGGGCTGTCCAATAGAACTTGTTGCCGTGGAAATGGTCTATCTCTGCATCCTTGACTGCCAAGAACTTAAACTGGGGAGAGCTATAACTGAGGAATGGAAATTTAACTTTATTTAAAAATAGCCACATATGACTAGTGTCTACCACATATAGCCTAAGAGGGTCAACACGCAAGACTAACTCTCTGGTTAAATTAGGTTTCACTCTTATTTGCTTGCTCATTTCCATAAGCATGGTATTCATAAACTTTTGTAAGAATATTATACTGAACATGTTTTTGTCCTATTGTGTTATAGTCATTTAAAAACTATGCCAGTGATATATAATATTACACCAAGGTAAACCCAAGTAAAAAGCACTGCCTGCAAGGAGTCTTATTAGTGCTTGCAGTATGTCAACACGACCACACTGGCTACTGAGGCAGCTTGGTGGCCCAGGTCAATCTGTCTAATGTTCACTTTAGAATGACTAAAATTCAAACTATGAAATATCCACTCCTAAGAAGTTTTTCCATTATCTATCAAAACACAAGAATACCAACTATTACAAAGCTTTCAGCTCCATTGGCTAAGCACTGCGAAGGCTTGTCAAACCATTTTACCTGACAGAGGTATTTGTTCTTCCATTTGCTCAGCACACACGGACTGCTTTGCATCAGCTCCTGAAGGACAACAGAAAGAGAGAGTGCAGTTGGCTACAGACTTTGTCATCATCAGTTAAAGCGCTTCTGATTTCAAGAAAGGAGAAAAAGGGAAGGTGACCAACAAGCCACACAAAGACGCAACTGTGTGGGAAGCTCTCTCTGGACAAAAGCAAAGCCGTCATCACCAGGAGAGCTGGTCCTTTATGAAAATTAAATCTGTTGAAAGATGATCTAAAGCAGATTTGTTTGTTCCCATTTTTGAAACCTTTTGAAAGATACCTCCAACTCTTTCAGTGAGTCTCGAAGTTTTTCTGGGCGCCTGTTTTTGAGTGTCCAAGGATAATCTCGTGCTGGCAAATAAAACATGTACAACAGTTAGTTAAACATGATTTAAATAAGGATCCTCTGCTTAGCAGTGTGCCTTAGAGGATTAGAATAAGACACCCGTAATTGAGAGGAAGTGGACTTCATCTCTATTCTAAATGACAGTCTTTTAAAAGGCTTTGTTACAGAATCAGATTTTTACCACAAACTAATCTCCCTGGTTATAATTTTGTGATGACAACCAACAAGACTCAGAGAACCCTTGACAAGTTTTGGTAAGCCAAGGAATCTAGCAATAGTTAGTAGTAAATGGCCTGCACTTTACAATTTAAGTAACTTCTTCATGAAAACATTCAAGGTTCAACCCAAAAGAAATTCCAACTTCTCCAAGTGGCCAACTCAGCCCTGAAACTTCTCATTAACAAGTTAAATGTGGTAAGGAAAAGAAAGAGAACATAAAAGTAATATGAGGGAAATTAATTTAAACATGACCAGAGCACTATATACTCCAGCTCAGAAAAAAAAGGGAATCTCAGTTTTAACAACTAGGCATTAGGAATGTTCTCTGAAATAATTCTCTCAAATGTAAACACCAACTAAGCCACAAACTCTTTAATCTCTAATGGTGTCCTACTTAAGAGACGTGTTTGTGCAATGGTGGCACAGAGCTTGTGGGAGTAAACCAACCAATATCTGATTTACTCAGGGCCTTACTGTCCTCCATTGGACTTAATGGAACCCATTCCTGATACTGTTTCGATGGCCAAGAACCTGTGACTAGATATCTCATGGATCTAGGGACAGCTAAATACTACTGTTTTTTGAAAACATAAAAATAAAAAAAAAAGAATCTAAAGCACTCCTATTGACATTCTGCTATACTCATAAATGTCCTGTTCAGCCAAGAGAAGCTTTTTCCTGCAGCAAATGGGAACAGATGCAGAGACCCATAACCAGACAGTATGCAGAGTGAGAGACCTTGGAACACTCAGCCCTAAACAGGCCGTCTCCATCAAATCACTCCTCAAGGCTCAGGGATACCAGTAGAAGAGGAGGTAGAAAATGTATAAGAGTCAAGGGGATGGAGGACACCAAGAGAACAAGGCTCCTAAATCAACACGAGCAAAGCTCATATGAACTGTCAGAGACTGAGGATGCACACACATAGGGCCTGCATGGGTCTGCGCCAGGTCTTCGGAGTGTATAGAGGCTTCTAGTTTAGTGTTTTGATGGATGCCTGAGTGTGTGAATGTATAGGTCTCTAATTCTTGTACCTTCTCTTGGGGTCTTTTCCTTCTGTTTGTTTGTTTTCTCCAATTCTGTTAGCTTTTGCTTTATCTTATTTTATTTTGTTAGAAGCCTGTTTGTTTCTGTGAGAGACAGAAAAAGTGGATTCTGATGGGAGGAGAGGTGGAGAGGGAGGGAAAACTATATTATATGAGACAAAAATCTATTTTTTAATAAAAGGAAAAAATAATTCTAAAATCCATGCCACAATTCAGTAACTATACACCTTTAATTTATTTTAAATAGTTTCAACTGAAAGGTTATATAGCAGAGGTACAAAGGTAGTCTAAAACTATATCTGTCTTAAAAATTAATAAAATTGGGGCAGGGGTCTAACTCAGTGCTAAGGTACTTGCCCAGCATGTGTGAAGCCCTGGGTTCCATCTCCAGCACCCACCACATACATGGTACAAGAATAATACTAATAACATGTTAAACTCATTGGAAAATGAACTCATCTTTAGTGTCATAATTAATAATTCTAAAAATGAACTGTGTATATGAATATATATGTCGTGTGTGCATATACAGATAATATGTAGCATATATAGATATTTAAATTTAAAAGCAGAAATTGCTATGTATCTTATTTCAGCAGTTATTTGGCTCAATAAACATAATTTTGATGTGTAGAACATATGTACAAATTTTAAGATATGTGTTGCAGATACTAATGCAATATTCTAAAAATTAAATGTCAGTCCAATCACTTAAATAAGGAAAAAAAGGAAAGTCTTTCAGCTCTAGCTATATTCCAGTAAAACTTTAAATTACACTAGCTTTAACCCACTAAAACCATGTCTATACATACAACATATTTATATCTTTCAGACTAACAACTAAATAAAACATGAATAGAACAATCTCACTTTATTAAAATAACACAACAGGGTTGGCAAAATGGCCCAGAAGGTGCAAGGACCCATTGCAGAGGCTGAAAACTGAAGTTCAGTTCTTGAAACCAGCATGGTGGAAGGAGAGAACCGATTCCCCCTGACTTCCACACACATGTTGTACACACACACACACACACGTTAAAAATAAGTAATAAAATATGTTAACAATTTAGGTAAAACATAAAAAATTAGATGTTATCAGAATTTAAGCAAGATTTATAATCATTTTCTCACACAAAAATGAGGTGATATAATAAATTTTACCATAGAACTTGCATGATTGATATATCAAGTCATCATGTTGTATGCCTTGAACATTTATATTTTTGTTAGCCAATTAAACATTTTAAATAAATTATTTTATTTAAAAATATGAAATAAAAATACACTTAATTTTAAGCTTTTGTTTGCCTAAGCACATATCTTACCAAAATTGTACACAGTAAAGATTTTAATGATTTAAATTAGAAAAGTCTAGCAAATACAATTATTATTCATGAGTTCATAACAATAAGCAATAGGAATTAGTAACTATAAGAAATGTGGACAGAATAGCATTTACAGTTTGTGCAGGAAACAGTTAATTTGTAACACAACACTGTTTTGTGATAATTTCAAAAATATCTAAGGTGAACTTACATTCCGCCAGCCTTTGTTTCTCTTCTAAGTTACCATGCTCTGTTGCTGACACTGGCGAAGGAAAGATGAAAAGGAGAAAAGTGGAATTTGTTCTGATTAGAGCATCTTATATGTTTAGTGGGCACATACAAAAGACTGCGGCAGACACGATGCTAAGCTTTTAAGAGGACAGTTGAGAGAGAATGTGACAATGTGTGTTTGCATGCCATAGGAGCCGTGTCCTTAATGCACAGTGAAAAGGCTTATACAGCACAACAGGTGGGCCAATATTCTGAGCTCCCAATCTCATCAGACAGGAAAGGGAACTGCAACCGAGCCCAGAGAGAAGCTGCTGCAGTCTGTCATCAGAGCTCTGAAGTCAGCCTATTAACCGCCATGCTAAGCACAGGATGCTCGCACAGCCCCCACTTCAATGAGGAACAGAACAGGAAGTAACTCTAGCTAGAAAGACCTTTCGGCCCATCATAAAACTTCTGGGATTAACAGGATTAATCAGATAAGGAAAATTGATCATTCACTCAGAAATGTCTATTTCAGATATCAGGTGAGGATCCAGGAGGCCAGCATCACGGGGACCAGTGCATTAACAATGCCCTCTGCTGGGACACCAATAAATAAATGTGACTAGACCGTCCTGATAGCAGGCTGATCGGCAACAAAATGAACATTTTCATGTTATTCTACAGCCTTTTCTCGGCATTGCTTTATTTTTTGATAGATCAGATAGATATCAACCTTAGCATTTTTTTCTCTTTAAAAAACCTGAAGTGACTGCTCTTAAAAGTTTGGATTTTTATCTAAGACATAAATACAGAGCTTTTAATGTTGCTAATTCATTGCTCAGAATATTTCATATATAAAAGCAGTTAAACAGAACAGGTGAGTACTTTACCTGGCGCATCTTTCTTGTCATAGTACTGGTAGACGCCGATGTCTCTATCTATAGAAAGGAAGAAATAACATTAAATTATGGTAAAAAGTTCTGGAGAATAAGAAGCCAAATCATACTATATCAGAGGGAATTGTGGGGAGGAGAGCAGAAACAGTCTCCTTATGTTACTAGAAATAAAATAGCTCAAAAGCATCTGGACATGGGTTCATCTATTCTAGGGATCTGCAGAAACTGGAGAGTTTATCATCTAATGAGAAATCAGAATGGCATGAGGAAACACACAGAACGAGAATGGCATGGGGAAAGATTAGTGAAGAACTGAGTCGAGGAAGACCAAGTTTTCTCTTTCACACTTCCTCTGATATTTTTCACAGGGCGCTACCAAAAGGAACTGCCACTAAGCAATGCCAAATGAAGTCAGTGGATGGAAGAAAATGCCCTAGCTGTTGGATCCCGAGCTGTGGCTTGCTTTTCTCCAATTTAGCTCAGAAGTCTAGTTCCTATCCTATAGCATTTGGGAGGAAATCTGCAAGAAGAAAGGGGGGATTACCGGGAGCTGTGGATAAATTATTATCTGAAACTTGTTTAGAGTCAAAAGGCTTCCAAACCTATTCAAATTCAGATGCTCTGCTGGGCTAGGTAAGAGAAAAAGTGAGACTTCGCAGATGTTGGGATTGATTTAACCAAGGGATTCTGCTCTTGCAATTTAAACAAGAGAACGGAATAATTTTTCCATGTCTATGAATAATGAAATATCTCCTTTATTGAAGTAACACTTGTTTTCTTCCATGCAAAAATAATTCTCAGTTACTAACATAAGGAGGATACAACTGTCTCTCGTGAAGCGGAAGCAGTGCAGGCTGCCCTCTAGTGACTGCCTGCCTCCCAAACTTTGTCAAACTGATGGACAAAACCAACAGAAAACACAAGGAAAGCTGCTATAATTGAGTCTGCAAATACATAACAATGAGTCATGTGTACTTGATATACTCATGTATATGAGCATACTCAAGACCCACATGTTCATATTAGTACTCATACTAAAGCTATACTTTATTCATTTTGAAATTAAGACATAATTTTAAAGAACGCAATTGAATGTCTGTTGTTTAAATGGAGAATATCTCCTAAAGACTGACTGGGAGTCTGTGACCCCTTCCCTGAGCACTTACAATATTTTCTTAAGCCGAGTAGTGATTTCACGAATGTGCTCACTTTTTGATAGTTCACAGCATATTCTTACAATCTGTACACTTTTCAGTACATATGTTACACTTCAATTTTAAAAGTTTCTTGTTATTTAAAGCTATAAGCTAAGAACTGCAGGCATTATATATGCAAGCAATATCTCCTATTAAAACATTCCAGGTTATAATTATAATATCATTCCATATATCAATATTATCTACCGCTCTAGAATAGAGTTAGGAAGATCATAAGGGACCAGGAACTCTGTGCACAGATCTGACCTTCCTGTACCTGGATGAGTGGGACTGAATGTAAGTAGGACAAGGGCATGTACATAAGCAGACTGGCCCGAGAAGTGATACAGTATGTGAGAGCCCCTGCAGGTGCACAGTACATACACAGAGCACTGCGGCTTGGTGTGGAGTATTGGAAGAAAAGATAAGACGACGTGGAGATCATCTAACTTGTGCCAAGGAGCACATGGAGTCAGAGGATTTCCGCGCAGGAAAGAGAGGACACAGAATGCTAGACTGCTAGCCAGCAGGGACTGGCTGGGCAACTAAAGACAGGGAAGCAACGAGAATCATTCCGACTGAGAAGAAACATGGGTATGAAAAGAGAAGAAAACTATTTTCTGAGATAACTTTTTCACCTTTCTTTTTTTTTCTTGTGATATACTTTCAATTTTCAAGATCAGTTTAACATCAGTGTGTTCTAAAGCTTCTGTATCTGTTTTTTTTTTTTTTTTTTTTTT